TTATTTCAGCGGCTCTTATTCTCCAAACAGATTTAATTACACCACTGAAGAAGAAGAGGGACCAACCACATGATCTCATTCAAAACGTGTCCATCAATTATTTCTTATTTCTTGGACACAACAACATTTTTTTCACTACGTTCGACCAAATATCATCAGATTCATCAATAATCAAAACTAATGATCAGCCTCATCAGTCGTAAACGTCCTCTGGACCTGTCTCCTCCTCCAGCAGCTGGTGTGAAGTGTGTGTCTGTGTGTGATGAACGTCTGAGACAAACTGAAACTCAAACACTGATGAATCATTTCGTTTTTAGAAACCGAAGCTGCAGCCACAACAAGAAAAAACTACTGTAGTCAGTTTTGTTGTTCTGAGACGGAGAAGTGACGATGAAGCTGTGAAGTGACGCCGGCAGCTCGACTGTGTTTAAAACGTTTTTTAGCTGTTGAACTAAACAACATGTTAAATTCGACCGTTTGTCTCACAGATGGAATTTAGTGGCGATGGATTCGATAAACAGAGGCGGCAAAAAACGTCAGTGACAGAATGACATCGAGCTACGAGGCAGCTGCTGAAGTTTTACTGAACATCAGGTCTCACACACACACACACACTGACAAAGTGTAACACACATCACATCGGACAAAGAGCTTTGGAGAAAAGTTTCAAGTTTAGCTTGTGAAAAAATGTTTTTAACCAGGATTAACCATTTACCATTTAAAAAAAATAATTTTTGTTAATCTGTAAAAACAGGTGATATTTTTTAGGCTAATCTTTTTATATATCATAACTTTTTCTTCTAATAAAAATAATTATCGTGGTAAAACTGTCAATAAATGATAAATACACATGAATTAAAAACCTACTGAAGATATATATAGAGAGTTCATTCATGCAGAATAACACGAAGGTCAAATGATTAGTATTATAAGAAAGAGAAGAAATGTGGGAGCAGAGGATTCACGAGGAGAAGAGCTTTAGAGTGAGAGCTTGAAAAACTCTGAAGGTGAAATCAACGAGTCCTGAAAGACTCTGATGTAACAAACTATGGGAAATAATGTTCCAGCAAAAAAATCCACGTTCCTGTTGACGTCAATTATCAGATGTGTGAGAAGTGTTAGGATTTAGACACACACACACACACACACACACACACACACACACACACACACACACACACACACACACACACACACACACANACACACACACACACACACACACACACACACACACACACACACACACACACACACACACACACACGTTTTCTCACAGTTTCCACTACAAGCAGAACGTTAACGACTAAAAGAAGAGTGGAGAGTAATAACATCTCTTCTTCCTCTTTTCTATCTTTAAACACCGACGTGTTTGGTTTATGTTTCGGGTCTTTGGTTCCTCTGTTGCTGTGAAAAAGTATTTTTAGACGTCTGAAGCTGTTGTTATGGCGCAGACGTTGGCAGGCGGTGCTGCGAGGCTTTTAACAAGGTGTAAATCAGGTTTGTGTAACGTTTAACACCCAACAGGCCTGACGGCGGATAAGAGGCTTCTGATTTGTTGCCGAGGTTTGTTTGAAACATTTTAAATTAACTGTTAGTGCAAGACGGTCGCAAAGATTAATTCCCCAGGAAACTCCAGAAACACAAATTATAAGTTCTAAATCTATAAAGATTTTACTTTCAGTTTATAAATTAATATTATTTTCAGCTCCTTCTTAAAATGAGAGAACGTTTTCTAGTTTAATGTCAAGTTATTGAAATATTAAATGAAATATTTTACATCATAAACATTGTAGTAAATATTTCAGGTGGTAAATCTCTGCAGTGGAAACATCCGGAGAATTTCCTCTTCTGATCAAGCAGCTGTGAAATTATCCCGATCACTTCCAAGTCTTTTCCGGGACGTCAGTTTGATTCCCTCTAAAACAAACATGAAAAAGAAGAAGACTCGTTCAGTTGATCCTGAACAGCTCAAACAACACGACTTTGACGGACGAGAAAACTGTTCCAGAACTTTAACGACGCAAAAAGGTTTAGGAGTCAGTTTGTAAACGTGACGGACACAAAGTGAAGTCGTATTTATCGACAACTTCGGACGAAAAATACAAAGTTGGTTCAATGAAATATCTGGAAAAGCGAGTGGACGTGTTGATGAGGTTTCTAACACGTGACGGACGTGAAACCGGAACCATGTTCCCCACATTTCTTCACATGTGGAAGAAAAACGTATGAACTTAAAATGATCAAAGGAGCTAAATCTGTTAATGTTTCCGAGGTGACGTGTCCGAGACGTTTTATTTCTCATTCTCTCATCTCGTTGTGCAGATCTGTTATTCACACACATTCCTCGTGAACCTGTAGCTGACAGAAGAGACTGAACTTCCTCTGTTCATTCTGTGATTTGTCTTCTGAAGCCGTTTGAATGAACGTTTCATTGCATCTGATGTTGCTGCGGTTCAATGGATGAGGGGCTTCCAGATGTGCAGGAGGTCCAGACAGATGTGCAGGAGCAACAGCACGTTCTGAAACTCTGATACTCTGTGTTGCAGATCTACGACACAGAGGGAACGTTACAGCACTTTATCGATGGTAACGATCCCAGTAAATCCAGCTGGATGAGGTACATCCGCTGTGCCCGACACTGTGGGGAGCAGAACATGATGGTCGTCCAGTACAGGTGAGAACTACACACACTACACACACTACACACACTACACACACTTCACTGTCAGCGTGAGAAAACACACACTCTGCACTCGGCCTGCACAATAAACACATCACTATGTTTTTATGTCTCGGAGACGCCCAGTGGCCGGAGGTTTGATGCCCGTTGTGAACATGATGTCTCAAAAACACCTTCAGGGAATCAATCGCCGAATTAAACTCAAGAGAAACAAAAGGAGGGAAAGTTGTTCTCAGCAGGAAACAGTTTCATGTTACTTTACATTAATTCAACACAATCACACCTTGTTTGTGTTTCATACCTGTAATAATGTTTTCAAAGAGGGGCGGAGTTACTTAACCTGACTTTCTGAGACCTGTGTTCTGTATAATGACCAGCAGAGGGCGACTCCCCTGGTAGTTTCTATAGAAAATGACTCTACTTCTCATAACGTCAGTAAACATTTTCATGAGGAGTTTATGATGTCAGCCGAACTTCATCCTCATCGTCATCTCTGCTGTCCTGCACTAACTTCTAGGCAAGAATCTGTAAACACGTCCGTCTCTTTAAAAACAACCAGTGGAGTCGCCCTCTGCTGGTCATTGCACAGAACACAAGCTCCGGGCTCTGGCTTCACGTGGATTGTTCTCCACAGTGTTTGAATCAAAGAAGAAGTATTGTATGTTTCCTTCTGACTCTCTCTGAGCGAACTTTAAGTTTCTGGCTGATGCTCGGACTTAAACTGTTGATGATGATGATGTAATAACGTGAGGTGATTTTTCCTCTCGGGGGTCAAACTGAAATCGTGGTTTGTCTTTGTGACTCTTTATCAGCAGGATTATTCTGGGTCAGTGTTTGTTCTCACACTTTATTAAACAGTGAAAGGTGTTTTGCTTCGTCAGATTTTGAACCTCACACTGGTCCTCGGTTGTTTTTATTTAAAACCAGATTATAAAGCCAGTTTTGCTTTGTATGAAAACAGAGAAGATCAGAGATCTGACGACGCTGCGTCCCGCTGAGCGGCTGCTCGGCGGCGGGGGTCTTTATTTTTCATACCTGAGAGCCTGTTGGATGTGTTTGATTTACAGCACGGCCCCGCCTGCTTGAGGCAGCAGTCTGTATTAAACACATACATTTGTTTTAAATACATACAAGCACCTCCCCCCCTTCTCTTTTAAACCGGGGAGGTCATTGGGTAAGTTTGATTTATAGACCAGTCCCTCCCGGCTGTGTTTTCACATGGGTCCGGCACCACCCCGCCCCTCCCCCGGTGTGGAAAGAATTAATAAAGCACACACACACACACACACACAC